AGGAAAACTTAAGAGAGGGTATCCAGTTGGTGCCTATAGGGATGCAGGAAGCTATCTCACCCAGTTCAGCTCACCACCAATAAGTCAGGCCTGATTTCAAAGTGAATTCCAAACTCATTTCCAGTCTTTCCGTGACACTTACGAGACTAATATGTCAAGGAATGTCTCAGAAGACAAGATGGAGAAATAAATGGAAAAAAATAAAAGTAAGCCGACTTATCATGGGTTGAACACTAGCCAAGAGAACTGATTTAATGAACTGAGGTCAACTCAGAGGCTGCCTTTATTAACAGGCTCTGGCTCAGTTCTCGGTTAGATCAGAATCTAGATTTCCATCAAAACAAAACGGCAGTTGGCACAAAGCAGGGAGAAAACTTGCTAATCCAATGAGTCAAGGTTCCAAATGGGTTCAGTAGACTGGGACAATGGATTAAATTTTTATAAGGGTAAATGTCACATGGTAGGGTGCAATTTCAAAAATAGTTAAATAGACAAGGAGCCGGAAAGCTTTGGCTTTGCAGCAATTTGATGAGAAAAAAGACCTCGGGATTTCAATCAACCTCAAACTCAGCATTAACTAATATATTAACCTTTCACTTGCACTACCAGAAACAGCGTCCTAAACACAGGCGGTTAGAGCCTCCAGTGAATCTCAGGAATGTCCTAAGTAACACCAATGCGACTAAAAGCTTCCGGAAGAGAGAGGAGGAGGGAGCCCCTCCTGACTAGTTTTATGAGGTCAGCAAACCCAGATACCTACACTGGCATTACAAAAACAACTCATAAACCAGTTGCCCTCATGGGCATTTTTTGCAATAAAGAATTTAACTGGCTTTTGTTCCTTAGTGTTTCCTGAATGATAGGAGTAGCTTTGTTAAGCAAACGAAGTGACATATGGTGGGTCCCTAGATAGCTTCAGGATGGGGGTTGGTCACCAGAATGACTGACCACTTCACCAGAGAGTTGGGAATCTCAGCCCAACCTCCAACCTCTAGGGAACAGAGGGTGGTCTGGAAGCTGTGTTCAGTCACATGGCCAATGATTTCATCAGTTATACCCATGTGACAAAACCCCAACAAAAAGTCTGGACCATGAACCTCTGGACAGTTTCCCATTTGGTGAGCGCACAGATGTGCGGGAGAGTGACACACCTTAGTTCCATGAGGAGAGAGCAGGGAAGCTCTATGCTCGGGACCCTCCAGACCTCACCCTATGTGCAGCCTATATAATAAAACTGTAATGGTTTAGTTTAGCACTTTCCTGAGTTCTCTGGGCTGTTCTAGCAAATTACACAATTGGAGGTGGTCATGGGAATCACCACATTTATAGCCCATCAGTAAAAGTGCAGGTGGCCTGGGGACACCACTGCCACCCCGGACTTGTGGCTGGCATGTGAAGCTAGGGCAGTCTCGTGGAAGACTCCACCCCTCACCTGTGAAGTCTGCGCTCACTCTGAGTCAGCATCAGAAGTGAACAACAGTCCATCAGTCCGTGTTACCCCAGATTGCGGGTGAAACAAAAAACATCAATGCAAAAATCATTAACTAAATTTAAAGAAGACCTAGATAAATGGACAGACTGTGTCTATAAATTGGAAGTCTTAATATTAGTAAAACGTTCTCCCCCCCTAAATTGATCTATAAATTCAATACAATTGCAAATACAATCACAGCAGAATTTTTGTAAACAATGTCAAGCTGATTCTAAGGCTTACATGGAAATAGGCAAAAGACCCGAAGTGACATTTCACCAAAAATCTTTATGAAATCTAATCCAAAATTAGACATCAGAGGAATGAAGTGCAAATTAAAACCACAATCATCTACCCTTTAACATCCATGAGAATGTCTAAAATTAAAAAAATGAATCCCATCAGTGTTGGGGAGGTGTGCATGGAGCAACCGGAATGCTCCTCCACTGCTGTGGGCAACGCACCTCGGTACAGCCCCTTTGGAACACAGTCCTGGTTTCTTTAGAAGTTAAATATATGCCTATGTATGACTCAGCCGGTGCTCTCCCAGATATTTACCCCAGGGAAATAAAAATATGTCCCCTAAGAGACTTGCACATAAATATTCATAGCTGCTTTATTCACAATAGCCAACAGCCATAAACATGCCAAATGTTCAACAAATGGTTAACACAAGGTAACACCTTCATACAATGGAGCACTGTCGGTGACTAACAAATAATGCCCTGCTGCCCGGCTGGAGCGGCTCAGCTGGCTGAGCGGAAACCGGTGCACCAAAAGGTTGCCAGTTCAGTTCCCGGACAGGGCACATACCCAGGCTGTGGGTTCGGTCCCTGATCAGGGTGCATGCAGGAGGCAGCCAATCGATGTTTCTCTCTCACATCAATGTTTCTCTCTGTCTCTCCCTCTCCCTTCCTCTCTCTCTAAAATCAATAAAAATATATTAAAAAAATAACCCACTACTGACACAACATGGATGAATCTCTTAACACACCACATTGAACCAAAGAAGTCTGACACAAAAGAACACATACTTTATGATTCCATTTATTTATAGTACGAGACCAGGCAACACTGTTCTGTCATCAGAACAGTGTTGCCTGTGGGAGGCGGGGACTGAGGGAGCCTTCTGAGGTGTCAGCCCTTCTCTATCTTGACTGACTTGGTGGTTACAGGGGTGTCTACACTTACCAAACTCATTGAGTTGTGCACTTAAGTTCTATGCATTTCATGCACTTGTAGGTCGATTTTACCTGAGTAAAAAAAATGTTCCTTTATGGTACTTTAGAACAGCCATCCTAGAGGGGATGGTGTGTATTTTTTAAAATTGATTTTGAAGAAAGATGTCACTGATGATCAATTCCTTGGAGAAACTCAAAGAAAACTGAGTTTTGAACGCAGGGGAAACCCTAATACTCCTGGCAGAGTCAGGAGTTAGAAAAGTGATTCAGAGACAACACCTAGGGACTGGTGTTCACTTGCTGATCCATTCTTGACATAAATACTTAGTGACTACTTCTATGGGTCAGGCACTACCTTGGGAGAGACCAAGACCTTGTCCTTACTGAGTACATATTCTCTAAGAAGACATCATAAATAAACAGGGTCATTATAGACTGACAAGAGCAATAAAGAAGCACACAAGAATTCATGATTGGGAGTCCAAAAAAAGGGTGACAAAAACCTAAAATAGTTAAGAGTGACCAAGGAAGGCTTCACAGAAGAAGTGATATTTGAGTTGTGTCATGGAACAAAGGGCAGATGGAAGAACACTGTAAGCAGACAAAAAGGGAGTGCAAAGGTCCTGAGGCAGGAAGGAGATTGCTGTGTCTGAGGAAATGAAAGACAACCAGTGTGACTGGTGGTTAGCAAGCAGAGAAGAGTGGGATGGGGTTGGGTTGGAGAGTTGGGTGGAGGCAGGAAGGACACTGAGTGACAGTCTAAGACAACAGGAAGTCACCGAAGGGTTCCAGCAGGCAAGTGATATGATCCACCATGAAGAGGAAGGATTAGTGTGAGGACAAGACTGAAAGCAACAAGACCAGCTAGGAAGCTACTGCAGTGGTGTTGGCAAGGGCTGGCGGTGACATGGACCAGGACACTGCAGCAGGGACAAAGAAAAGGCAGATTTGGGATGTCCTGTAGAAGGAAAACTGACGGAACTTGCTGATGCACTCAGGTGAAAAATGAGAGAAAGGAAGGACAGGCAAATGGTGGTATCACTAAGATGAGAAATTAGAGTGGAACAAGTCTGGGAGAAGATCGAGATTTTCATTTTAAGATGCCTACACACCCAGCAAGTGGAAATGCCAAGGAGACAGTTGGCTACAGGAGCCTAAAGCTCAGGAGAGAGATCTGGGCTGGGAAGCAAAGTGTGAGGTCAACATCACACAGATGGTGCTGCAGCCAGGGGCCCAGGGGAGCTCTCCCGGGAACATGTCTCAGAGGGAACAGAAGAGGGTCCAGGACTGAGCGCTAGGGCGCCACACTTGCAGAAATCCTGCCACAGGCAGAGAAGAAGCGGTGAAGTGCGAAGAGGCAGAAAGACAGTTTCCAGGAGCCACCACCGCATCCTCAGTGCCCAGAACACCCTCTACACACAGAAGTCCCGAATGCATGAAGAAAGGAAGGATTAGGGGACGTGGGGTTCAGAACAAGTCACCCCTAGGTGTGCCGCTGGGGCAGGCGGATTGTTCTGAGCTAAAGGCAACCTTAGCAGTGGGCTCAAAAGAAACTTCTGCCCCTCCCTTCCCTACCTAGAAAACTTGAATTAGGGGCCTTGCCCATAAGAGGAGACGATCAGAGATAACCCCTTTTGACTTTTCTATATGCCAGGACAGACTTCTCTTTACTGAACACCTGGCTCTCCCTGCAATGGCCCTTCGAAGCCGGCAGGGTACCTTACCTCTTCCCAGCTCAGGATGCCTTATATACCCGTGTTCCCTTTCTGTCTCTGAACCCCGTGCATGTGGGGGTCTCTGGCTCTCCCATGCATGCAGGGTTCCCATACATATGTATGTATTAAACTTGGTGATTTTTCTCTTGCTAATCAGCCTCATGACTATTTGACGATTTATCAGACCAGGAGGAAGAACCGTGAGGAAGAGGAAAGGTTCTTCCTCCCCCACATGGGTGGTACCCTGGCCAGATGTTGCTGAAAGAGGCCATGGAAGGAGCAAACAGGAGCCCGGTGGCTTTTGAGGCACAGGAACATCAATGGTGCTGACTCTGGAACATGGTCAGAGCAATGGGAACAAAGTCGGGACACTTCCATTCAGATGGAAATCAAGATTCCCACCGACCCGCAATGAAGTCACAATCCCACGATGACTCACTCTGCCCACAACAGCCCCCACGACCCATGCGTTTTTGCCTTGCTGGCAAACCTCACTGAGGTCTTTACATCGCTGGTTCCTGAAGTGCCAGGCCTGCTGGGCCAGCGAGGCCACAGCTTCCCAGCCCTGACCTCAGCAAATCTTTGCTCCCTTCCACTACTAGGGAAGAAATAAAAACACCGGTACAGACTCACCAGGGACAGTTAGCACAGACGGAGATTTTTCTGTCCTTCCATTCACGTGGCTGCCGTTCTGAACCCAGGAGATGCTGACGGGCTCGGGCGGGCCCACGGCCTGACAGGTGAGGTTGAAGGCAGTGTTTCTGGTGACATTCATGCTCTCGGGCTGCCTGGTAAAGTAGGGAAGTCCTGCCAAGGAACAGTGAAGGGAAGGACTGTTTCAAACCAACAAACAAAGGCAGAGCCCTAGGGGAATGGAAACTACCAGAACTTAGCTACAGGAGATTTTTTTCTATACCATTCTCAGGTCTGAAATGCCAGTTCTCCCTGAAAGGTGGGTAAGAAAGAAAACAGACTCATTCCCTAGTCTAGCTCCAGCTCACTTTCTAGGACACTTTCCCAAAGGGGTTGTTATGGTGACTCAGAACTGGTTGTAACAGAGGAGAGGCCTGGCCGGTGAGAAATCAGGCGTTGCTCAGACTCCCGGGCAGGTTGGCAGGTTTTCAATATTCCTCAGCAAAACAAACAGGAAAGCCACGCAACGGGTCTGCCTGCTTTTCAGGACAATCTACTGTGTGTGAGGCTTTGAGACGGGTGGTGTGAATTTTAAAATCTGTGCACGAGGAGAGAGCTCAACGCCTTTCAAGGCACAGTCTCATGAAAACAGTTTGGACACAGTTACGGTCATAGCCAAGACCTCCAACTGTAATTCTAGGGCCAAGGCCATAAGGAAGGACATTTCAGAATGTCTTGGAGGAACCCAAATAGCTCACTTATTTGGGCATGTGCCAAAATTTACCAGCTGAAGCTAACTATCTGAACACACATTTACACTGTGTTCTTTGGGGTCTGCGAACTCACAGGCCTGGTCCCGACAAGAACGATGCGGGAGTGGCATATGGAAAACACTTTTCCTGTTTCAGAGTTTTGCAAAAATTCCATTTGGATCTAATGTGTCCCTGCCCTGGGCATTTTTCTGAGATTCAGACAAGTAAAATGTCCTCTGAATATTTTTACCAGATAAACAGCAAATGTTGAACTCCCCGATGCTGAACGCCCCCATGCTGTCTAGTATGGCATGGCCCAAGTACAAAGCTGTAAAAGAGAAACTCCTGAGGGCCTGCTACCCTCAGGCCTCCTGCAGCATTAGTGGGAATCAGTCTCGTGTTTGCAAAAGAATGGGTGGCCGAGGAGCCTTTTAGTGGAAGATGTTTCCAGTCTGAACGTCCCTGCAATGCTAAATCACCTGCTCCACAGCCTGTGCTGAGGGGGGTCAGGAGAAAGAAGGAAAGAAAAGCGTTCCGAGGGTCTGCTGAAGGAAACCTCAAAGAGCTAGGATGCAGGGACCCCGGAGGGCAGCACCTGGGTGGTGGGGAGCCACCACTGGGGTGGTGACAATAAAGATGCTTCCTCCTTGAAACCCTTCTTGACAGGCCCTGCCACTGCAGAAGCAGGCACACAAACCCGGAGACCCGGGGACCTGGGCTCAGCGGGCCTGGCTCACCTGGGCCTCAGCGCACACGCCCCAGTGGAGTTCAAGTTCCTCCAGGGCAGGGGCTGCCTTCTCCTCATCTCATGTCTCACTTCTCACCCCACTGAACCATCTCATGCCATGTCATGGAACTGCACTGAGCCAAACACCTGACAAATCCCTTGGTCTGAAAGGAGTCTCAGACCAAGCTGTTGACCCTGTCCAAGAAAACCGCTCACCCTGCCTGGTCTCCCCACCCACGTACCCAAGACAAGAAAAGACAAGCAAATTGCCACCTCACCAAGTGAGTGGTGCCTGGTGCCAGCACTGAGAGCCAGGTAATGGAATATATTTGCTGCCTAAAAAAAAGTCAACTTTTTAATTGTAAATAACCTCGTGACAAGAAAGTCAATCATCTCTCATCTCAGTCCCAGTGCCTGGGATGGAGCTAAAACTTTAAGAAGTGCATTCATTTCATTATTACCTAAAGGCTAAAAGGGGACTGGCTTATCAAATCTCAGTGCCTATGGATCCGAAAGGTTTGCACACAGTTATGAAAGGGCCTGCGGAACTACAGAGTGTTATACGCAGAGCAGTCAATACCAGCCCCTCTGTGGCCTCCGCACTTACCTTGTACCTCGACGTAGATGGGGTCAGACACAATCTCTTCATTGTTTATTTTCGTCTTACAGCTATAAGCCCCGCTGTCCGAACGCTGCACACTCATTATGCTTCAGAGAAAACACAGGGAGACGTTTAAGGTGCTGCCCTTCGAGCTCCTACTACAGAAACAGAACATTCTTCAACTCCTTTGTCATATGCTGTGATGCTAATCTCACAGATCGACATGGCTAGGTCACGGTGTCCAGATATTTGATCTAATATCACTTTAGATGCTCCTGGGAAGGTACTTTTCAGATGAGATTAAATTTAAATCAGTTGGCTCTGACTAAAGCAGATGACCCCCTATAACGTGGGTGGGCTCATCCAGTCTATTGAAGGCCTATGAGCAAACCCTGAGGTTGTCTGAGGAAGAGGAATTCTGCCTCCAAACTGCCTTGAGACCCAAGGCTGCAATGTCAGCTCTTCCCTGGGAATCTAGCTGACACCCTGCAGATTTCAGATTTACCAGCACCCACGGCCACATTGGCCGATTCTTTAAAACAAATTACTCTGACGAATCCCTATGCTGTTACTTGTCTTGACTTCTATGGGAGACTCTATATTGGAGTGCTGGCCCCTCAAGGCATTTTGCAAATTTAGAGGGTTATTTTGGGTGGTCGCTATACCAGGAGGCACTGTGGTTTTTAGGGGCCAGAGGCAACTGTTCCATATCCCAAATGACCTTCTGAGACCAGAACTCATTCCATTTTACATACACACAACATATTTTGCCTGGTTTTAACTTTACCTCCACCTGATCTCCCAGGACTGCAATAACCACGAAAATGG